AAAAATCGCTTAAATCTAAACAATCAAAAATATTCGTACCTATATTAACCCTAATAGCACACGTACGTCCAGTGGACGTCCATAGTACGTCCCTCACGGACTTTAAGGACGTCCATCGAACGTCCGTTTTGGTCCTAAGGACGTTCATTTAACTTCCTATATTTTTCCCAAGGACGTTCTTTTAACTTCCTATATTGGTCCGAATGTCGCTGCGCCGAACGTCCTATGGACGTCCATTTTACGTCCCGAGCGGACGTTAGTTGGACCGTTAATTGGACCGTTAATGTTCTCGGACGTCTATTTTAGCGCTGAGAATGTAAATTAGACGTCAACGCCATTATATAAAGTACTAAAAGTGGTGTCATCCTGTGTATATTAAAAATGTATTTTGGGAAATAAAACGTAAATGTTTAAAGGAATTTACATTTATTGTTAAATTATTTATATTTATTTATTACTATTGCATTTTAGTGCTTCAAATAGTACCTAAAGCTATTGACACAAAAGTTTCAGACCATACCTATGTGTGAACCATTATAAGTTCTGCGGTAAGGAACATGGAAATATAAATTCTGACACAGTGAATGGGAGGAATATTAAAACAAACTAGCTGAAGCAATTCAGGAGATTGGTTATTTTATGAACAAGTTTAAAAATGAAGATTAAAAGGTAACACTTTTGATAGGAGAATCCAAATTAAAGAAATTGATCATACCAGCATAAGAATATGGTCTACACAATTTACAAGTTGCTTGTAGACAAGTCAGTAGGTATAAATCTAATCAACATAAAAAATGTTTTTTAATGCAACTATAACATAATCTGTGTAAATTAGTAGAAGTTGAACAACTAGACAGTAAGTAAACCATGCTGACCAGTATGAAGCTGATTCTTCAGATTTTCTGTCAAAAAATCAGTCAGTAAAGCCTCGAAAAATTTAGGAATAGTAGAAAGAATTATAATGGAATGATAATTAGGAATCAGTGAGTTAAGGATAAAGTCAATAAATAAATTGTGATGAAAAGTGACGCTCGGTCAGAGATTTATAAAAAAAAATAAGCCATAGAGACCTGCATAAAAATAATGTACAATTCCTTAAAAATAAGTTAAGATATTCCGTCTTGACCAAGACCTTTATTGGTATTAAGACACTGTAAGCATGCTAGAATGTCACAAATTTTACTAGTTAAAGAGTGAATATGGCTGTGACTGATATGGTATCTTTGACTACACTTGCCTACACAGGAGAAAGAAGGATTGTGAATACTGCTAAAGAAATTGGCAAAATCGTTGAAATCATAAGTATGAAAAAGATCAATACTTAATATGGAACTTTGTCTGTTTTATTTAAGCAGTAGATACATTTTTAGGTACCTATTTTTAACAAATAAAACAGTCTCAAAAATTGTCTGTTCCTTTCTGTCCACCAACCACACAATTTAATCATTACAAAATTTAATCATATTTAGAAGAATTTAGAAGAATATCACCAACCAAGAATATCAAGAATACCAACCCCCAACCATTGGTATATATTCCTAATAACCAAATGAGCAGTAATTACATTTTGATGCTTACAATTAAAAATAACAGGGTATAAATAAAATATACGGCCAACAACAAACCTTCATCTCATAGCTGTAGTTCATAAAGCAATTTCATAGCGAGACCTGAACATTTGTGAAATGGTAAAATTTGCCATCTAAATTGCATATAAGACACAGTTAACGATATGCTTCATCGGCTGTATGTGGCCACTTAAGTGATAGTGTAAATTCTTAAATATACCTTAAATTGATTTATGTTTATAAGTTACAAACTTTTTATTGCAGATCAGCTTCTTATGGCTTCTCCTAACAAATTCGTTTATGGTCTCCTCACTAATTGTGGAAAGCTCATTATCCTAAAATATAAATCAATATGTAACAGTAATCTAACTACCCAATAAACTTGATCATCCATGCTTAATTATTTTAGCTTAAACTATCTAATAAAAAAAAACAGCCTCTGTTACAAATTCAAACATTCATTTGCAAATTTTGGTTTCTCATAACCATGGTAATATGCCTATTAAATCTACAATTTTTGGATATATAAACCAATTGCACAAACTAGGATAAAACTGACTACTAAAACTCTTTTTTAGTGGGATTCCATCAAAATTCACACAAAAACATTGTTTTATTGTGAAGATAAAAATACCTTTGAAATTTGAATCATATGGATCAGAGTATTTGTTCTCTGGGTGAAGCAAGAAGAGTTCTAGCATCTGAACTCAAAGGAGAAAGATCACGAACTTCTTTATGAATTTTTAATAAATCACCTAGTACTAAAGGACAAAGTCCAGTTGCATAACTTATTAAAAAAATTAAAAACATCTCGATAAGGTTCTCCAAAATTCTCGTTACAACCATGTTTAGACCCTTCTTCAGTTTAATTGAAAGAAAATCTTTGTAAAGGATCACCGGAATGGGCGTCCACGTGGTAATTTGGATTATTTTAGGTACTTAACATGTTAATAAAAAGTTTAAATCGGAAGTATTGTAACCTGAACTATTTGAACTAAAACTCGCATCAAAATGATCAGTTAGAGATTCCGAAGAAAGGTTTGAAGAAGGTGCAATATCGGGGTTATTAATATTTTCAACAATATTCTCTACGTTTTTCGTAACCTTCTTCTGCTGATGACGCTTAGAAACAAATCGTTTTTTAAACATAACCAATTTTAGGAAAAATTACACTTGCCTTTTGGTAATAAAATAAAAACAAAAATCGAAGTAGATATGGTACCAAACCTTTAACAATAACCAAAGCAAGCATCAAAAAAATCAATGCACTGTCAGAGAACTTGTGTTCGTAGTTCTCTGGCACTGTAAACTGCTTAAATTCTTTTATTTCCTTAAAGACATTTATTAAAGCATTAATAATAATATTAAAATTAAACTGTGCCATTTGTTTAAATAGGTATGACATGACAATGGCAATTTATTAATATCATCATTATTTTGTCCAGCCAGATATACAACCACTTGTTCATCTTTGAAAAGAATCTTAAAGATTCATCGTGTTGATAAACATCATAGAATTAGCAAACATATATCATCGTGATAACTAGAATAATAAAACAATTGTAACGAATTATCTAGAAATAAAAGATTTTTACACTTTACCTAAAAACAAAAACGTGTTTTGGATATATTAAACTATACAATTTTTAATTAATGATTATTTAACCTTTCCGCTTTTAATTATTTTATTAACGTAAATATTTTTTTATTTTATTGAAATATTTGCTATTTGATCCCATACAATTGGTAAATGTCGGACGTCCAGAAAACGTCCGAGTTCAGAAGTCCAGAAAACGTCCGAGTACGGACGTCCAGAGAACGTCCATATTTAGTCCACCCAAAGTACGTCCGACTTCGTACGTCCATAGTACGTCCATTTTACGTCCAGGGACGCCCGGACCAAAACTGGACGTATATAGGATGTCCATAGGACGTCGTGTGTTACTAGGGAAGTTTTCATCAGTTAAGAAACACTTGACAAAGACCTTAGATGGAAATTTTTGTTTTGATAAAGGTCAATATATCTGCATGATTATTTTCAGAGGAAATATAATCAATACATATCAATCTTTTTGAAACTAAATCTTTTATATAACGCTTTTTAATGTCAATGTGCTTGGCACGTTTAGAATTTTTAATAGACTGACACATTGCTATTGTACTCAAATTATCAATTAAAAGTTTTGATTTACCCTGTACACTAAAATTAGATAAAATAACTTTTAAGTAAATCAGTTCTTGAGTTGAGGTAGCCTCAGCTATGTATTTAGCATATGCCATTGAAAGAGCAACACAGTTTTGTTTCAGGGATAACCATGAAACTAAATTGCCACAATCAAATACAATACAACTTGTAATACTTTTATTTGATGCTCAATCTGAATCTGAATAACAAACTATGTAGGTAGTTCCCACGGATTCTTTTTATGTCAATGAAAAATTGTGTGTCTCTTTCAAATATCGCAGTACTCTTCTTGCTGCTTTCCATGTTTGTTGTGTTGGCTTATCAAGTACTCTACATACTTTTATCTACGTTTATCAAGTACTCTACATATCTCTAGAGATATGAAATGGCGAACATAACATCAGGTCTAGATGTAGTTGCTATATACATAAGACTACCTATAAGTTTTCTATAAGGAACAATAATTACCTCTAGAGTGTTATATATCTGAAAATTTGTTTCTATTGGTGATGCGACACATTAACAATCATTTATACCAAATGAACCCAGTATCTTTGATATCATTTTGGGCTGTCCTCATGTGAGATTACCACTTTCTCTTATTATTGTTTTATTATTTGAATATTTTTGACATTGTATTATCTCTCTAATTTGCCTCTTATTATTTTTAAATTTTTCACCAATGGTAAATTGGTGAAGAGACTAGTAATATCAAAACTGACTAGCGTATTGTTGGAGTTGCAATCTATTTCTGATAGTTTTTGCAAAAATATCTGTTCGTTTTTGATAAGAAATGTGCTGTGTTGCACTAAATATTGTATTATGTCTAGGAGGAACTTTGACAGTATGATGCAAGGAGAACCCATATTGCTGAAAATTGTTCTAAGGGGTATATTCTCTTTGCGAATTTTTGAAACTCGGTATAGGTAAGGTATCTTGCTGTAATGTGGTGTTAGTGTTCTTCTTGGGTAGCCTATCAGGAATTCTTTAAATAATTGCAAAGTTTTATATATTTTATTTTCTAGTGATTTGGTTGGATCCTTTTTGAGTTTAATGTAAAGCCCATTTGTGACGAAATATTTTTAAATTTTCTCCTGATATTCTCTTTTGTCCGTAATCATATTTGCTGTAGTAATTTTTTATATCTGCAGTTGTTAATTTCATATGATGTGTAGGTACACCTACACATCAAATATTAAAAATATGAAGATATTAATAATCAACGAAAAAAAATAAAACAACTTTTTATGAAAATCTTTTTTTATTAAATAAATATTTATTTTCTATTTTTTCAAAACAGTTCTACATTTTACTAAAATAGCAAGAAATTATTATTTGCCACGTATTATTGAATTCGTATTCTACATTTTTGACTAGTAAAACAATTGCTTGCATGAATCGTAAAAAACATACTGAAGAGCATAAATAATATACAAGTTTTCAAATACAACAAAATCAACAATAACACTAGAAATATCGTAAAACTTGGTTAAAACCTAAAATGTCATTGTTAGTAAAAAATGTCTAAATATTGTAATAAAAAACGGTGTCAAAAAATATTTACAGTGTCATTGTTGTTGCTTTTGTCATTCACTGAATACAAAAATAATGATCTACATTATTTTAACACAAAAAAAATCTATACACATGGGAAAATTATTTACAACGCTTTTACAAACTAAGTCGACAAAAATAAAACATGTAATTTTTAAATAAATAATATATTCTAACTATGACTCGTTTGCTAGATCTGTACAACAGATGCTCCCCTTTTATTAAAAACAAAATCAGGTTAAGGTTGTTCATCGAAAAAAGGTTCATTCGTATAAAACTGCAAAGGTCGTAGAAAAAATATAGTGGTTTCTATTTTAATATGATCTAGGTGTATCAATTGTACCTACTATTTTTGTGATTTAATATTAAAAATAGAAAGACTTTTTTTATTCCTTAAGAAGTAGTTAAAAATACAGCTTTTATAAGTATTTGTTATAAAGTCGTTGGTCGTAGAGAAAATGTAATGTTTTCTTTTTTATACAATATTAAAGTTGTATAAATAGTATTCATATTTTTTTATTCCTTTTAATTATTTAAAGAATATATTGAAATTGTTTATTAATGAACAAATACTTGAGGTCACATTTTTTCGATGAACAGTGTCTAACCCAATTAATATTTGCAAAAGGATTATAATACATTAAATAAATAAATAAAGGACAAACAGAAGAAACAAAAACAAAACACACAACTTCGTTGAAAATACATGTTTCGTATAAGCTTTGTTTTTATATTTTTAAATCAGTACGTCATTATATTTTTGATAAAAATAAAAATATTTATAAAAGGTGATATGTTCGCATTTAAATATGTTGAAAAATGTATTTTCAAAATGAGATTCTTTTGTTTTCTTGTCAAATTGTAGCATATCGGTAGGAAAAAAATTTTGTATAAGATAATAAAAAAAAACTATATGACTGAGGATCGAATTATCAATCTTCGGACTAGGAGACTGGAGTGTTATTATTTCATCTCTAGAACTATTTGCATTTTATGACTAACGTATAATAGCAAATAGAAACAAAACTGATCGTATTGAAAGAAAGTTGTTTACAGAGACCTTTCCCGGAAGATAAAGAAAACCATACTTTCAAACCAATATACTACAAAATTGGACTGTTGGAAAAATTCTGTTCAAAGAGTATTTTAAAAACAGTCTACGAAAATAGTCATTCAGAATTTGAGAAAAACTTCTAAATCTAGACAAATTTTGACTTGTGTACCCATAGTAACAATAATTACCATTTGAAAACATGGTCTATTTCTGTCAGTGGATATACAAGCCTTTAAACTTATTATTGCTGCTTGTATGTAAAACAGGAAACATCTCAAATTCAAATGACAACTCGCTACGTCATTCCTACAAATGAATTTGCAAATTTCAAATTCAATGGAATTAAATTAGGAAAACGTACGTACATAAAAGTTAATTGTCTTTTGAAATAACACGACAATCAGATTAACACAAAGAAACATCTTTATTCCAATTCAAAGACTATTGTCACATACTGTTTTGAAGGGGTTTTGAAGGTCGTATCTATAGAGATATCATTTTTGTACCCTTGTTGTTTAATGAGCCTGTTTAATGAGCTATATGATATATTCTTCACCACATCTAAATCGCTTTCACAACAACTTGTCAAAATGTTTTTATCAGGCGTGTCTTTGTAACAAAAGTCATTCAGCTGACTTTTAAATTACTCAAAAGCATTCAAGTCGACTCAATGTGTTCCAATTGTGTACCTATCGTAAAAGTTCCAAAGCTAAAAGATCGATGGTATTCTTTGTATATCGCAAAGCCCAAAACAAACACTTATTCATGCTTCATATATTCTGGAGTACTTAAAGGAAACGTTATATCTACTGCATGTACTCCTTCCAATGATGTTGACAAATATTCACAAGTCTCTGTGTTAAACTAAAGTCGCTGAACTAGAATCTACGTTGCAATCAAAACATTATCGTACACATCTAACACATATATCAAAAGCTGCCTTTCACTCTGATAAATACATAATACACTAAAACCTAATGAGCATCTGATAAATCCAGGAAACAGCTACGTTCTCCTTAAAATATCCACCTAAGTTAACGATAACAACAACCATTAAACAAAATAGAGGGATGGCTTTATAGCAACGATAAAAACACACAACCAGCGATGCTATCGCTAATTGGTGATCTTTAAGTAACTAACGATTTCTATACATGCTCATTATGCACAGCCTAACTGACAAATATAAATATTATTATACCCTGTGATCCTACTGGCTGTCTGAAACAGCATTTAAGCCTCAGCAGAGCAATTTCAAAAAGCAATTTGTTCTTCCAAACGACGTAGTAATAATTTAAACGTAAGAGGGAACCAATTGGTTCATTTGACAAAATTATCCAAAACTTTAGGACGGTAGTAACGTCAAACAATTATCGTATGATGTTTTATTTCCCCCTTTATTTAATTTATTTCTGAAAACTACTTAAAAACTATAAACTAACCTAACTATAAACAACTATTTTGGTTAAGCAGTCTTTTAAACTATCAAAAATTATCTACAAAAATACTTCCGGTAGTTGCTACAAGCTTCCTCTTATTTGTTTAATATACTTTGTTTTTCAGTCACAATTTCACATTTTATATACAAATAATGAGATTTTTATTACAGAAATATAGTTGAGCATTACAATTTACCTAAGAAAGGGTTTATAGAGAGCTTCCAGCTTATAGAGAGCATTTTTAAATAAAGTTGTAGTTAGGTCCTTGAACTACTAGCCTAAGAATGGGCGCTAATTTGTGCCTTCGCTTAGTAAAACATATATATTACTTGATATAATATGTAATTCTTTAATATAGGATCCTCGTGCTTGTTATGTAAATAACAGCGATAGAAAATAATTTTAGTTGAAACTAAAGAGTCATTTTAATTGCAGAAGAGCAAAAAATGTTTTTTAAACATTAAAAGCAAAACTGACTACAATCTGGAAGCATATGGAAGTTTATAAATAAGAAAATTGATAATAAGTGTCAATAAGTGGATCTTAAGAACTTATCTTTTTTTGACAAACTTCCAGATCTTCTGCACAACCAAATCGGAGTTTCCAATGTCAAACACGCTTTCCAGTAAATCAAATAGTTCAACTATACACAGATTACACAGTATCATACAAGCTGTATGATCTACTGATAAGATTGTTGCCTGAACATGGCTGAAATTTCTTCTAGAGACTTGTTCTTCGTTTCTGGAACCTTTTTGTAGATGAAGAGCAGGAACAGCGCTTGGAGAAGGAAGAAGATTACGAAAACGTAGGAACCCAATAAGTTCTGAAAAAGAAAAACAATATTAAGGATCTTTTTACATAAACTGTTCTATTTGTATGTAATTTCATATTTATCTAAGTCTTCGGTCGCATATAATTTTTTTTAACCCAAACTGGGGTTCAACCCTTCATCTTCAAAGCTTCAAAATTGTTTAAAGTTGCTAGTAATATATTGTCATCTTCTGACACCATTTTTTGTTTTATTCAAAAACAAGCTAATGGCGAAAGATAAGGTGCTGCGAACATACTAGCAAAATAATCGTTAAACTAAAATAGTTAAACGATGAGGATGATGATTTAATGAGGTTGTGAAGGTTAATATTATTTTATTGTTCTAATTTTATTCTGCAGCTATTGTAATAATAATAAAATCCATTTCATACAGTTTTAATAATATGTACTCATCTCAGTTAAAAGATCTCAGTGTAGACTTAACCTTTCCATTATTTTTGGGCACCTCATCTACTACTAGACTTTGTATGCTAAAAACCTTGATGATATTTAAATACCATCAAGTTTTTTTAGCTTAATTAATTTATAATTACTTTCCGCGTAAAGTGAAGGTTGTTGTTGAATAAACATTTTTAACTGCATTTTTTACAACTACGAATTAAAATTTTTCACCACGTCATTCTCTCTAATAAAATAAAAATTCGTTACATCATATGGATGCTAAGATATGAAGAGAGTGTGTGGAAACAGTATAAGTGTCATATGATTTTTGCGTTTTGTTTCGATGATAAAGAATAATTCCAGCCCATCATGTTTCGCTGGGTATCTGAATTTAGTGGTGGTTGGAGTCCACTCCAGAACAAAGTTCGTGTAGATTCTTCAATATATTTTGGTATAGAACACTTCGATGTAGTACGTAAAAGTAATATTGAACGATACTCATTGGACATAATGTGAGGTTTTAAAGCATATTTGGGCATTATTTTTGTTCACACAAATTGAATATTGACTTAACATTTAGCATTTGGCCTAAAATATTTGTCAGCGTTCTTCAAAAGTTAGAACGTTTTATCACTTATAGTAATTGAAACTTACCGCAAGTGGCAAGAATGCCAAACCAACGATGAAGTTAGCAGTCCAATTGATGCAAACGGCCAAGGAGGTAGCTGTGGGCCGAGCAGATTGATTGAACAATTCAGAAACTAAGAACCATGGGATTGATCCAGGTCCAATGGCGAACATTACTACGAAAATCAAGACGAAAAGAACACAGAAGATGCCAGCAGTTGAACTATAGCTCTGAAATAGAAAAAAAAAACTTAATTTAGCTCTACTATATTATAACAAACATAATAAATATATATATATATATATATATATATATATATATATATATATATATATATATATATTGTTATTAAGAATATTTGTTATCGTTAAAAAAGTTGTACTTACCACAAATTGCATGCCAATTGCGAGACACAGGGTATCGATCGCCATACCGGCAAAACCAACCATCAGCAACGTTTTTCTTCCAGCCCTTTCTACCAAGAAGAGTGAGATGATGGTCATAAATACGTTAACACCTCCCATAGCTAATGTTGCGTAAGTTGGATTATCCCCTTTAAGACCAGCCATGACGAAGATTGTACTTGAGAAGAACATCACCTGGAAAATACATATTTATAAAAAAGGTGTTATTAGTACATTTTGACATTATGATATATTGGATATTTGCTTATTATCTGATATACTCTTCGAGATTAATGATTAGAAATTAAACGAAATAGAAACAAAACGTTTTGAATTTATCTAATCTTCATTTTTCATCTTCAATATATTATGCCAAGTTACTTACCGCATTAATACCAGACAGTTGTTGGGCGATCATAACGGTCAAAGAAATAATCAGAGGAATCCTTAATGTACTGTTTGTAACAAGCTCTCTTACAGTAACTTTTGGAATCATTTTGACAGCTTCGTATTCGGCTTTCATTACATCCATCTCTTCGTGAACTGAGAAAGTACCTCTCAACCAAGTTAGAGCTCTTGTGGCAGCATGCTCGTTTCCTTTGCCCAGAAGAAGGAACTTGGGTGACTCAGGACAGAATGGAAGAGTGATTAACTGTAATAATAATAGCAATATTAGAAACAGCAATTAAATATACAATATTATAAAAATATTTTTAGTATAGGTACATTACGTATATTTACCTGCAAAATAGCTGGAACAACGGTCATCATCAACAAAGTAACCCAGTGATCATCTGTTCCCAAAAGACCCTTCAAACCAAGAACTTGTGCAATGAGAATGGAGATGGTGATGACCAACTGGTATACTGTTCCAACGGCTCCTCTGAGATTTATTGGCGATATTTCGGCTAGATACATAGGTGCTAAACCAGCATTTAAACCAGAGTTTAGACCGATGAAGAAACGACCAAGAATGATCAGTTCATATGAGGAGATCGACTTGGAGCAACCTTCGCAGATAATGGCTAAAAATACTAGGATGTTGTTGAGTAATAAGCCTCCTTTGCGACCAAATCTGTCGGCGATCATACCTATAAGAAATATGTAAGTTAGACCTATAGTTTTTCTTAAGAAAAGACTAAGAGTTTGCCTAATCAACCTTACATGCAATAGAAGAGAAGGACATGTTTTTCCATCTTCTTTCATATCTGTACTAAGTAAATTGCCGGTTTTCTTCTATTATTTTAAAATACAATAATTTATGCTTTTGGATTTCGCATTATTCATTATCTACTGCTAGTATTATTTCATCTCTATCATACAGCGTGTTCTCTATCGTAAAACAATTCAAGCCAATGAGAAGCCAACATAATTAAAAAACTACAATTAACTAAAAATAAAAATGTTTTTAACTTTGATGATTATATGATTTCGTTAAATTGTTTTTTACTGTTTTCTTTTAAACCATAATTAGTTTTCCATTTTGATTATTCCGCCATGTCATTACTTTGTAATGTGTAGCAATTTAAGAAATGGTGGCTTGTAACAAGTATATATTTACTTTTATTATACGAACCCTACCATAAACTATTTCAACAATACGAATGTATAATAGGTGTTATCTGTTATCAGTTGTATTTCCCCGATAAACTTATCTACGTCTTATCTATGCTTGTACGTCACGTCGGTAGATCGCGAGAATTTGAATATTTTTCCGTTAAAAGGAAAAAAAACTTAATTGCATGTAACTGTTTTGTGCTTTGGTAAAGCTTCAGGAGAACTAAGGCAACAAGTTGCTTTACTTACCAGTTGTAGAGCCCCCAATCATTCCACCAATACAGAAGACAGCAGTCATCAAAGAAAATACGAAAGTGACGTTTTCTTGAGTCGGGATTTCTCCAGTTCGATTATGCATTGATTCCTTGATCCAATTTTCAATGACCTGCAAAAATTGATAAAAAAATATAAAATTTAGAGTTATATAAAATCGTATGAAAACTTTTCGAATATATGATCAATCAGCAAACCTTCAACAAAACAAAAAAGTCTGTTCTACCCAAGCTGCCTTGAAGATTCTGAAGTTTACAACTCTGAAATTTGAACAGCTTGAAAATGCAAACTATCTCAACTGATGTAGTATAACAAAGTAACTTTGTTAAGGATACTGAAAATGCAAACTATCTCAGCTAATGTAGTACAACAAAGCAACTTTGTTAAGGATACTGGCGCATTTCTCAAAAGTTTAGATCATTTGATCAATAGACGATAGATTTGGACTCGAGCATTCCATACATGCATTAACTTTGCCTTTATTTAGTTTTTTACTGCATGTGCTATTCATCTTTTTAATGACAGAGTTTCTTGAAGCTTTTCTTTGAAAGCGTGCATGTACCACTGGTGATTTACTTCCTAGTCAACCACTATACATACTTCATACAACTTCCTCACTTTGCCAATTTTGATACTTCGGAAAAATAACATTCTGATGTCCTTTAAGAACATAACAAGTAAAGCCTGGTCTGAGTTTGTTACTATTTTATGTTTTCTTTCATTCTTGTTTTCGTTAAAAACCAAAGAAAACAATGTAAAATAAATCATGCATTAGATTCCATATATCAGTAAATGGCTTCAAATCATTAATTCGTACCTTTGTTATGTAAATGGCGTCCGTGACCTTTAGAAAAATGCAGCCATAGCAAGTCTATTTTAAACACGTTGCCAGTCGACAGAGGTTAGTTGGCACTATTCTCAAGGTTACTGTATGTGTTAGTAAAATGGAAAATGTGTCGTTAAGCAATACGATATTACTTTTATGGGCTGATGTTAACGACTTAAATGTACACCTTTGACATAATTCGAATGTTACTTAAAGTAGTTAAAAATATTGGTGTTAATGTTAATAGTATGCAAAGTCATCATGTAGAAACATTTTTTAATAGGTTAAATGTCAGGGTACAGGTGATCTGCCATTCAGTTCAGTCTATTTTGTCGTGTGACGAATTCACATTCACCCGAGAACATCTGGTGTGAATTTGTAAACAATGAACTAATCGGCACACTGGCTCGTTTTTCGACAATCCAAATAACTTTTGATAGCTATAGATCAAACCCACACCATCCATTATATAGTTCTAACCAGAGAGCCATCTAAACAATGGACACACAAAGGTTTTTTGTCACCATATAAGATAAAAACAATTTTGCCAAAAGGAACGTTTATACCAACAGTGTAGATATTTATCAAGAATCGCGAAGGAAAAGTTCAATATTGTTACAGAAGAAAGTGCTTCTTCATCAGAATCACGCATCTGCTTTTATTAGAATAGCCAAAATATGAATCTGATTTTAAATTATTTAGTGCTTAATGCAGAATTGGTTACAGTGATTATTATATGTTTTCATTCTGAACAAATGATACGAGATTGATCTGCAATGAAGGCACGTCTTGTATTTTAAACGGATATTATTGTCATCAATAAATATTGTTTAAGTAAATTAATATCTTAATCTGTAAATTTGCACATTAAGATATGTAACTTAAACAATATTAATTAAGTAAAAACTTAGGTGTTAATATGAATGTAATGATTAATATTGAATAACGTGACTACTCTCTTTAAGACATATTTCAAATATTGCCTTTCTATTTAACACGAATTTTACGAAAAGTTGACTTACTGACAAAATTGTACTAATTGGCTGAATAAACACTCACGTTATGCATACAGACCATTGATATTGAGCTACTAAACCAATATTGTATCGATTATTGTGACAAAGAACAATTGTAAAAAGAATTTTCTTATAAAAAACATCAATGTCTGATGTGTAGTGTATTTTCTAGAGATCATTCATTATCTGTCGTTTTTCTTGCCTTTTCCTTATGAACTGTTATTAATCTGATTATGTCTTCGTTTGAAATCTGATTTTACTGTTTCTTACTATTATAAAAATGTAAGATTGCTAACAATCTAATAAAAACCTCTTTTTTATAGACGACACTGACGAAACTTATTCATTAAAATTTAATGAATGACCTGTTTAATTTTACTGCATTATCAGTTTTAACTTTGCTGATTATATTTTTTTTATACTTGGCTATGTTCTTTTTGCCAAGTCGCGTGCAGCGATTGCAAGTCTGGTGTAAGAACTAACACGTGCTTAACTGTTTTTTATTAAACATTTTTATTTCTCAAAATTTCTACAATAAACTTCATATATAAGTTTATTTTTCGGCCACCATTTACGAGAATGTTGAATCTACTGAGTTAAACTTTTCCCAGACATAGTTTTATTAATTCTTATATCAAACCCAAACACTAATTGAAATTAGAATGAGTGGTGACAAGTTTATCTAAGTTTAGACACTAAAAGAGATTCTATTTTTAAAATAACCACGTTTTCTTAGTGACAAAAATAGAAACGGAAACATTGAACTCTTGAAAAGATTATTTGATAATATCAACTGACTGCTGTTTTGTATAGATAAATATATCAAAATTTTAAGTTTACCCTTAACATTTATTACTGAATACAGTTTGTATGTTTTTACTTACCGCTTGAGGATTGTTAAGTACTCCAGTGTTGTAACCATGTTGAAATGAAGAGCCAAAAGCACCTGCGTAAATGGCTAACCCCAATTTCCAGTTAAAAGACTGCAAAAAGTATGAAAAATTAGTAAGATATATTTAAAAAAAACTGCTACAAAAACTGTACAAAACATTCATGATTTTTAATAAGCGCCGAGAAAAATTCTGTATGTATGTTCAAATATTTTTTAAATATTGTTTTTAACACGTTCTAGTGCTGTGCTGTTAAATATTCCAATTTTTGAAGCGGCGTTAGAAATCGTGAATGTTTACAAAACTGTAGAAATATGAGTATAAAAGAAAATCTTTTGCGAATATTCACATACAAATCTAATATAAACCATGTTTCTTAATTTTAAATATCTAGAGCTTTTGGGCAAGCATATTAGTTCATTATATTAGTAGTAGAATTGCAGGAAAAATATTATGTGTAGTACAACAAAGACGTCTTTAAAATAAAAAAAGGAAAAATATAACTGTGATAGTCTTCACTGTCTTCATTTACGATGTACAGTTTGGTGTAATATGTACTTAAATAAAAAATAAATATATTTCATTTTTAATTTTTTTTATTTTGAAACATCTTCCGATCTGTACAGTCAAATTGGGCCAAAAGATTTTAAATTGTGCAATTTAGTCCAGTCGTCAGAGACGAATATGTCACTCAACTTCTAAAAATCAAACAAACAAGCTGAATTTTGTTGAGAATATCAATTTTGGGACTCCAAAAAATATTTTCCTACTCCCGGGTTTCCCCTAAAAGGCACCTTACAAAGGGAAAAATGAAAAGCATTAATTTTCAAGAATCTGTATGCCGAAGAAAACAATGTTCAACCAATAATTGTACCTCAAATTATTTTAAACAAAAATGTTTTGTGTAAAACGAATCGTTCTTGATAAAAATTTTATCAACTTGACGGTCAAAATTCGATATCTTTTGATTAAAATGAACTAAACAAGGAATGACAAAAATCAAAGATCATTTTAATGGAGAGAAGTGCAACTTTCTTATGAATTTTTGCATTTTGCCGCAAATAAGCCAGTTTCTATAAAGCTGTTACATAAATTAACGTTGCGCGATTTTTGACACTTTTTACGATTTTCATGAGATGAATAAAATATACCACTTTCATTGACCGGTCGCTATGGAATTTCTATTGTTAGAGCCTAATCTTCAAAAAATATAACAGCAAATTTTGATTTTAAGTTTTGGCAACAAATAGGTATGAGGCATTTGAAATATGCCAAAAAAACGCTGAATTTAAACTTTAACATTACAAACGATCTCCCGTCGTGGGAAAAGCTCCCCCGAAGTCGGCAGTTGTTCATCTTGTTTTTAGTTATCAAATCTCTAAAGACTGGACTAATTGCGTTTCACTTTCGTTCAAGATTAGTTTCAGAACAATTCTTTTTAGAGGTCTCCCTACCAATGGGTTTAAATATGTAGGATCCTTCTTCGAAAATTCTTAACTAACGCACATCCTGCAATGGGATGACACCTTCTGAGAATTTCAGGTACACCCTTATGACAAACGATCCCTTAATTTTGTGAAATATTAAGTATTTCCGTTAAGTTTTGAGATAGTTCTAAGAAGACGGAGCTAATAAAACCAAACCAAAATGGTACAATAAAATTGGACGATAATTTACATAAAAATGATTTTTTAGTGAAAATTGCTTCAGTACATATAAGTTAACTATGTGTACTTTTGTTATAATTATTTGATTATATCGGCAACTAAATTTTAACGGTCTTACATCTTGTTTGCATTATCATATGTACACACGTGATACAGAGCATGTTCGTGCAAATATCTTAAGTATACACCAATCTTATTACCTCAACTATATCAATATTGCAACATAATGGAAAATCTAAACCGAAATTTATAGATTACTATCACATTTATTATTAATTTGGATTAATTCTGGATAGGAATTGGCAGTTTTATATCCTTGGTGTAAATTTCTTTGTGTTTCAGCTTTTCAAACTTCTGGAATATTTCCATTTTCTTTTACTAATTAGTACACATACTTTGTGTTTTATTTTTCCTTAATACATTTCTCGATCTATCTCTACTAAGTACTGCCCAGTATTCAATACCATTGATTATTACTGATCCGACGGTAAGTTTTATTTTACCAATTTACTCCTCATGCTGTAGGTACATCTACTTTTGTCTTTTATTCACAATATCTCGAAGATTTTTGGGCCTCTTTTTCCGGCGATCTTGGCCTGTATTATGAGGTGTAGAATGTTATATCCCTCTAGATGTCTCATTATATGGATGAAATATTGTAACTTTCGAATTTTTGTTGTTTTTACTATTTCTGTGCTCTTTTTCAATCGGTGTAAAACTACTTCATTTGTTATTCGATCAACCCAACTTATCCGCAATATTCGTCGGTAAATTCACATCTCAAAGGCCTTAAGTTGTTTCATTAGTCTTGCTGTAAGAGTCTAGATCTCCATCCCATACAGCAATGTGGAGAATATGTAGCAGCGTATTAATCTGATTTTAAGGTTTAATTTATTTCTTTGATTATATCCCACTTATCGTTAACATTGGCGCCCGAATAGGTAATATTGTGGACATATTTAACACATGCTTCGGTCACCCTGTTTCTAAGGCGTTGCAACTCTTTTTCATTGGATGCAATCACCACCGTGTCGTCTGCGTATCTGAGATTTTTGACATTAATCCCGTTGATTTTAATGCCCGCATCTTCATCTCAGGTTTCTATCTAAAAATATGTATGGCACATTGGCGCCATACATATTTTTGATAATACAGAGGTATTGGTCATTAATTCCCACCTGTTTCAAGACAAAACAAATATATACATTCACATTATAATTGAACGTAATATATCGTACATATTGGTATGAACATATCCATCTTCAGTCAAATATTGTAGATATTATGGTACTTTTAATAATAATTAGGGCTAAAAACTTCTATTGTTTGGTGTGTCACCTTTGTGTGACTTGAATGTATATTTAATTTATGGGAAGTGTTTTTAATAAGACACACTTCAAAATTTTCCATTGATTTTATTATTTTCACACCCATATTTGAATAACTTACGATATCGGCACACCTTCAACGATAGTGGTATGCCTACATTTCTGAACAGTTCTACCCATTGAAACGATACTTAGATTAAATAAGGAAATACATACATAACAACCCACATGCTTTTCCTACATCCTAACGGTACTTCCTTCTTTCAATTCGTAGCAGACTTGGATTTATTTATGGGACCGTTTATATATTTAATTACTGGTTTTTATCAGATGATTACGATGCTATTTTTTAAATTAGACATTTGTCTGAAATGAATCATCGTGAATCGTCTTAAAGTTGAATGTGACGATTACTTAGACATGACATTGAACATATTTATAATAATTGAGTACAAAATTACAAAGTCGAATTTAATTTTCAGACTAACCTGTATCAATCATCTCTTAGTTGAAAATTATAACTGACAATAGCCTTTTTTAATTTTAGTATACAGTATAAAGAGACGCGACGGTTCAAAAACTAAAGGAAACTATTACAGAGAAACTTATAGCAAATTTGGAGACGATTTCTTGGAATTTTACGCTCTGTTTTATATTGATACATATGTTTGCTGTCGGTTTTATGGGTCAAATGTTTTGTACATAATGTACAATCTGATATTTTGTGCCTTATTTCACTTTCGTACATGACATATTTTATTAAGTAAATTTTCATAATTTGTCTTAAGTTCTTAAGTTCTTTTAAATTCATGTTATCATCATAATAATTGCCTCTACAATTCCCTGTGGATCTTTGCCTTCACGAAGAGAAGTTGCTACATCTAAAACATCCTAAACGCGGTCGTCCTCTATATCTGCGTTTAAAATCGCTCCGTGTACTCTACTGTATAAATTCATTCAATTTATAATTAGGAGAATTTTTTCATGGTTTCATTGATCTTTGACAATATATAAAACTTAAGTTTATTGCTTTAAAAAATGGACTGCAAACATTTTACTTCGAGATTCTAGACGATATTTGATACATTTAACATTATCCTTGGTGTATATTGCAAAATTGTAGTGTTGTTCGTGTTAAATATCCAATTACCAGCAAGTAATCTAAGTAATAAGTAGAAATTTAATCCTATAAGATATATAGAAAAGGCAATAAAAATTAATCACAGAAAAAAACTTTAAAACCAAATTTGTAATAGACAAAAATAACTTTTAGTGATTTATATTATAAGAATTTGGAGGTACATTATTAACGCCTAGAAATGGAAACAGATTGGAGAATAAGAAATAGAGATCAACAGTAAAATATGGAAAATACTAAACCTGCAGCATGCAATGAACAATACATTTTTAGAAAAGAAAAATTAAAAAGAAATTAAAGTAACCATTCAAGTCTTATAGACCCGTTATAGACTTACAGGAGAAAAAAAAGAAGGGTGTTGAAATTAAGTACCTAGAAATATCGGAAACGTAACAAAAAAAATGATAGAATAAGGAACGGAAACATACCAATATACTTTGTAAATTGGACAAATATAATTTACCAAAAGAAACATAATTTAGGTGGTGGGGTGGTTTAAAAACGATAGAAAACAGATCCAGAAAGGAATATATCCGAAAAAACAAAAAGAAGTCATGAATATCACCAAAATCGATTTCTCTTGACGTATTTTATTTAAACAAATGAAAGGAAAGAACACTATTTTTTAGTCAACTAATGTTGATACTTGAAATAAAAAATGTTGACCTGACACTTACTTTTTTATTCAATCTAAATTATGATAATTTATGAGGTTTCGCATAAAGAAATACGTCAATGGCATTACAGAATATTAATACTTGTGCTTATTACATGAAAAATAACTACAAAAGTTGAAATTTTGTATACCTATACGATTCAGGACTAAAACTCACTACTACTATCAAAGTCTAAAAGAATAACTTTCTTCTTTTTACATAAGATTCCCCAAACTTTTTTTTTATTCCAAAAACCTCAATGATAAATTAATTTTTGATTGCTATCATTAGCTCTTCTTTTTTT